AAGGGTGAAAATACCATCTTGGAGAACAGAAGAAGAGTGAATTGTTAAACCAAAACATTGGGTCTTGGAATAGGCTGGAAGGTAAATCAAGCACCTTTTCAAAGCTAGATACTCAGCTACTGTTTATCCCATGATATACAATGTCTGTAGTGGGCATGGCTAATTGGAAGTCTCACATAGGAGATGTTCACTGAGACCCTCCTTGTTGATCAGAGGCTCCAGCTGATATTTTTGGTTCCCAGGGCTTCCCCCAGTCAGTTTCTGCTGGATAGTGTGTCTGACCTGATGCTCTACTATCTATCAGCTGCTTGCAATTTTATTCTTTTACTCTTTTTTAAAAAAATATTTTATGTGTATGAGTGTATTGCCTGCATGTATATAAGTGTACCCATGTCATGCAATGCCCATGGAGGTCAGAAGAGGGCATCAGATCCCCTAAAACTGGAGTTACAGATGGTTGTTAACTGCCATGTGGGTGCTGGGAACCAAACCCAGGTCTTCCACAAGAGCAACCAGTGCTCTTAACTGCTGAGCCATTTCTCTAGCCTCATATTCTTTTACTCTTGATTGCTGTATACTTAATAAACTCATTCATTCAAAACCAAAAGCGCAGCTATTGTGGACCATGCTCTGTACAGAGCATAGGCAGGTGCCTGGAGCTTTCTAGCCAGACTTTCTAGTCTATCAGTGAGCTACAGGTTCAGTAAGAGACCTTGTCTCTCACTGAAGGTGAGAGAATGAATTGAGGAAGACACCTAACATTGACCTCTGGTCTCTACATGCATATGCTTGAGCACGCACACACACACACACACACACACACACACACACACACACAGAGTTAACTTTGGAAGAGGGAATATAAAGAGATCTGTATCTTCCCTGCACTGGGCATTTAGACCTTACATCTTAACTGCCCATGATGCACCTCATGGACATTGCCTCCAAGGTCTGCACTTTTTCTACAGAAAGGCATCAAAATCTATATCCAGACAATTATGTGGTATTAGAAAGAAATGAGCTGTCACACAAGGAAAGATGGACAATTCTTCCACGTGCATGAATATTCCACATGCATTATGAAGTGAGAGAAACATGCCTGAACGTTCACAGACATATGATCCCAACCACCTGAAAAGGCAAAGCTTTGAAGATGGAGAAAAGACCAGGGATTTGGGGGATAGGGTGGGGTGGACAGGCAGAGCTCAGAGGGTTTTATGCTGGTGGAAATACCCTCTGTGGTATGAAAATGATGGATAAATTACACTTGTCCAGCCCCAAAGAATGCAGAGCGCCCAGAGGGAAGCCACATGTCCTTTAGAAATGGCTCATCAGCTGTCATAGATGCACCCTGTGTGGAGGACATTGACAGTGAGGAAGGCTGCTTGTGTGGGGCAGGGTGAAAATGGGCAAATCTCTGTACTTTTTCATTCAGTTTTGTACTGATCCTAAAATTCTTATTTAATTTTTTTGTTTTTATTTTTAATTTATTCTTTGAGAATTTCCTAAATGTATACAATGCATAGTCATACCCCAATTCCCCATCCAACTCTTCCCAATCCTGCTCCACATCCCCCTCCCAACTTCATATCCTCTTTCTTTAGTTTATTTATTTATTTAATGGCCTTTTTTTTTCTTGAGATAGTTTCTCACTAAGCAGTTCAGGCTAGCCTCAGACTTACTATGTAGCTGAAGCAATCCTTCCTCAGCCTCCTAAATACTAGGATTATAGTGTGTGTCAGAAAAAAATCCATTACAAATATGCAAATATTCTAAAAGAAGAGTTGGTTTGATCAAAAGACGATTAAGTTCTAAACCAGGAAGTCCTTCTCTTCTTGGCCAGTGATTTCTGCCCCATCTGGTTCTCTACCTCTGCCTTTAGTTGGGGCTGACTTAGTTGAGGTAGTGCTGTAGATGGGTTTCCTGGAAACTTGCCAGGAGTATAGCTTTGATGATGGAGACCTCATTTCTGAATAGGCTCTTACTGGTATAGGTAATGTGTTGAAGGGTCACCTTCAGGTGATCATCGTTTGCAGGACGAACTGGTATGTTTTGAGATGGGTAGTCTCTGTGGTCTACTGAGCTCTGAGTACCACTGGCATCTGTGTCCTCCAGAGCGCTAGGGGTGGTTCCAAAACTTCACTGGCCTAAGTCCCTCCACACTCTCCCTCCTCACTGCCACCTACCAGACGGTAGGTACCTAAGAAGAAATCACAGATTAAAAAAAAAGGAAAGAAAAAACCAGGGGCTGGACAGATGGCTCAGCAGTTCAGCATACTGGCTGCTCTTGAAGAAGACCTAGGTTCAGTTCCTGGCACTCATATGGTGGCTAACAACCATCTGTAACTACAGTTCTAGGGGATCCAATGCACTCTTCCGGCTCCATGGGCATTGCACAACATGGGTGTGTTTACATACATGTAGGCAAAACATTCATAGACATAAAATATGAATAAAAAAATTTTTTTTAATTTTTAAAAATGATTTATTTAATAACAACATACTTAGAAGAAGCATATCATTACAACACAATTGACATATTCAATAACGTTTTCCTGAGGTAGGATGCATCTCTTTCAAAATTGGCTGTAAATTTTTAGGTTTACAGTTTTATTAAAATACACAGTTTCATATAGAAAAATTATTTTTCAATGCAATTGGCATTGCACAACATGGGTGTGTTTACATACATGTAGGCAAAACATTCATAGACATAAAATATGAATAAAATTTTTTTAAAAAAAGAAAAGAAAAAACTGTTTTTCTGAAGGTAAAGTTCAGTGGTTGAGTGGTTGAGTAGCATCCAAAGCACCCTGGATTTGATTCTTTGTGTTGAAAAAAAATAAGCCATAATTTTATAATATAAAATAATTCATTTACAAATGATAAAAGATGGGTTTCAGGGTCAAAAAATAATAATGTAGCTCTTGTGTTAAAAATCTCTTTTGAGGGTTAAAGAGATGGCTCAGCGGTTAAGAACACTGGTTGTTCTTGTGGAAGACCCAGGTTCGAATCCCAGCACCCACATGGACACTAACAACTGTCTGTAACTCCAATCCCAGGGGATCTGACAGCCTCTTCTGTCTTTTGAGGGCATTGCACGACACAGGTGCACTTACCTACATGCAGGCAATACACGCATACACATAAAATATAAATAATAAATAAAAAAAATTTTAAATCTCTTTTGAGCTGGGTGTGGTCACACACCCTTAATCCCAGCACTTGGGAGACAAAGGCAGACAGATCTCTGAGATCAAGGCCAGCCTGGTCTCTGTAGTAAGTTCCAGGTCAGCTGGAACTGAGACTTTGTCTCAAAAAAACCAACAAAACAAAACAACAACAAACAAAACCCAAGCCAAACCAAAGCAACAACAACAAAAAATAACAAAACCAAACAAACAATAAAAAATCTCTTTTGAGCTGGTTGTGGTGGGACATGCCTTTAATCCTAGCACTCAGGAGGCAGAAGCAGGTGAATCTCTGAGTTCAAGGCCAGCCTGGTTTACACAATGAGACACTGTGATTAATTAATTAAAACTACATGTTGATCTAGTTTGCTTCTCTGTTATTGTGATAAAACACTGACCAAAAGCAATTTGGGAAGGAAAGTGTTTATTTCATCTTACAATTGCCAAGTCACAATCCATCACTGAGAGAAGTCAGGGCAGAAAGTCAAGCAGGAACCATGGAGAGTCACTGTTTACTGGCTTACTGCTGCACTCACATTCAGGTGCCTTGCTTATACAGCCCAGGCCCACCTGCCTAAGGATGGCACTGCCCACAGTAATTGCTAATTACATCAATTAGCAATTAAGAAAATGACCCACAAGCCAACTTGATGGTGATTATTCCTCAGTTGGGAAGAGAGTCCTTCTTCCCAACTATGTCTAGGTTTGTGTCAAGTTGAAAAAAACCAATCAGTACATAGACAAAAAAAAAAAAAATACAAATAAATCATGAATCTATTTCTTCAACAAGGAACACGAGTTTGGCGCCCAAACTAGAGTCCAGCTGAGCTGGTCACCCAGGGAAAAATCCCTTTCCCTCTCTTCCCCTTCACCCCTCCTCTCTCTCAGGTGGAGGTCAAGGGCTGTAGCTGTGGAAGTTCCTCCTCCAGATGCACTTGGCTCCTACTTGACTCCTGGAGCATTTGCAGCCAAAAGTCCCCTCTCCACACATCTCTAGGGGTCCCAACACCCCAGTGAAGTCCTGTTCATTTTGACATGGTTATGTTAGGACAAAGGAGGTATAGAAGGACATCTTGGTAAAGTCATCCCCGGGGTGACTGGAAGAGCCTGCTGTGACAGAGAAAAGAAGCGACTAAGGAAGAAGGAGACAGAAAAAGAGTGGTTCAGTGGTTTGTATACAGGTGTCTCTTAGAGACCAAGGAAGGAAGGGAAGGAACCTATCAGAGAACAGAGTGAGAGAATGGCAGAGACACGGACCAGAAGCAGAGTGCTCCCAGGTGGTGACTGCCGTCAGTGTCATTTATAACAGTGGAATTCACTCATTTTTCTTTTGAAGGCACTCTAATTACAGGTGCTAGGGAAGAAACCCCACAGCTCTGCATGGGATTTAGCCATTACGTGGTGGTTAATCACATACAGAGGTTTTCCATGCATCTTGTACTTCCTCTCTCAAGCAACATCCCTCAAACCTAGAGTGCAGAGCATTAGCTCCCTTCACAGGGAGTAGACCCGGGGGACAGACTATCATAGGAACAACCAGAGTTCCATGGCTTAAAGGCAGGCTCATTAACTACTCTGGGTACCACTGGCATGTATGCCTCCTCTGGGTGTGTAGGAATAGTTCTGCCTCTGACGTCTCATTAGAAGCCATTAATTTAAATATGCACTTCTGGTTCTACCATCTTCGGTTACTTTAGTCCAACTGACTTGAAGCAGCAGAATTGGATAACAAACGGACTTTACTGAAACATTTGAAAAAGTTGGAAGTCCAACCCTGGCACTTACTTTAGTTGTCCTTGTCAATGACAGACCTCATCTCTCCTGGTGCTGCTGTTACTGCTGGAGGGGGGAATGTTCTCCTCATCCCCTCCACCCTCTGGGCTACTGGAGAAGCTCTTCCAATACATTGATCTCCACCAGGATGAGTTTGTGCAGGTAAGAGGGACCACCTGTGGTTCTCCAGTTGCTTCTTCTAGAATCTGGTGACATCAGTTTCCTGGGAGATGTGGATTTTCACGCCTGACAATTTGATTCTACTTAAAATGACTGTGATTCCTCACTGAGGTGAAATAATCAGTATTCTGTGGCAGAGATTCTTTAGCCACTGCTTCTAGAAAGACATTACTGGTGTGTTTGATCTAGTTATGTCTAGTGTTCACAGTACCTCTGTTGGGCTCACATTTATTCTAGTCTACCATGATGCCCCTGGTTCCCATAGAGATCTAGATGGAGCCAGGAGCTGGAAAGCTTGCAAAGTCAATGCCAACAGTGTTTTCTTTTATTTGTGACCCTCTGTCTGCTTCATTCCTAACACCTGCCTGGCTTTGTACGCTACACCCTTAACACCGTCTGGTACATAGTTGGATCAATCAGCCAATTGTCAAGCAAACAGAGATGAAGCCTTTGTGTTTCATGCTGAAGGCACAAATCTGACTCCGAAGTTCTTTTATTTTTTTTAATTTTTATTTTATGTGAGTGCACCCATGTTGTGCAATGCCTCGGAGGTCAGAAGAGGGCATCAGATTACCCTGGAACTGGAGTTAAAGACAGTTGTTAGCCACCATGTGGGTGCTGGGAATAGAACCTGGGTCCTCTGTAAGAGCAGTCAGCGCTCTTAACCGCTGAGCCATCTTTCCAGTTCAGACTCTGTAGTTCTTAAGTGTGAACTTCATGTAATTCTTCCTCCTGCTGCAGTGTTGACCTAATATAAAGGCCTCTTAGATTTCTGGAACCCAAGTGGGATTTCAAGGTCATTTGAGATATAATATCTCCTGGATGCTGAGGGATGACTGAAACTTTTAGTCAAAGCATTCCCTCATCCTGGCCTCCTCAAGCATCCTACATACACTTGGTGTTAGGAGGGGCTTAGGAACACCTACTGTACAAACTCTGGGTAGAAAATGTAAACCCAATATTCCCTAAGTCAATTTCCTTATAATAAAAATCAAAATACTGTCACCCAGAGAAAAATCAAACCAAAATAAGAGGTAGAGTCAAGATTAGCCATCCAAAATATATGTCTTTTTTTTTTTTTCATTAAAAACAATGATGCTCTGCCAAGAATAGTGGTGTATACCTGTGATCTCAACACCTCGGAGGCAGAGGTAGAAGGACTGCCATGACTGCTAGGTCAGCCAGTTTACATAGTACCATTTTTTTCAAAGTTCCAGCATAAGCAATTTAGGTTCTAACACTGGAACATGAGTGATGATTACAAATCACTCCACAATGGCATGTCCTCAGTGTTTACTACTCAAGTCCTCTAATGCAGTGGCCATCAGTGTCTACTGTGCCATTGGATTTAGGGAACACTTCTTTACAGCCAGAAACTTGAGGCTAGGAGAGGTTAAGACCCAAAGGAAGCCCAGGCATGGTGGCGCATGCCTTTAATTCCAGCACTCGGGAGGCAGAGGCAGGTGGATCTCTGTGAGTTCAAGGCCAGCTTGGTCTACATAGTGAGATAGTGAATTCCAGGGCAGCTGGGGCTACAGGGAGACCCTGTCTCAAAAAGCCAAAAAAAAAAAAAAAAAAAAAAAAAAGGGCACACAGGAGGAATCAGGTTCCGTAACTTAAGGCTGATGACCACACAGGATTTCAAGGTGCAGGGAGGGGCTGAACGCACTCTTCAAACCTGCTCTGCCTCTGGTCTACAAGTTTTTAGTTACTTTCCTAGTCTCTCTCCCTCTCTCTCTCTCTCTCTCTCTCTCTCTCTCTCTCTCTCTGTAGTTATGTATGTATATGTTCATGTGTGTACAGATGCACATGTGCATGGGTGTATGGGTATTGTTATTTGGTGCTGTCCTTGAATACTTTTCCTGTGGTGCTGTCCACCTTGTTTTCTTTGAGTTTCTCTTTGGCCTGGAGCACTTCAAGTGGGCTAGGCTGTGTAGCCATTGAGCCCAGGGATCCACCTGTCTCCACTTCACTTGTTCTAGGATTACATGCATGCACCATAATGCCTAGCTTTTTTTTTTAAATGTGGGCTCTGAAGGATTGAACTCAAGTCTTCAAAGTGAGCTTTTACCTGCAAAGGGAGCTTTACCAACTGAACTATCGCTGCACTCCCATCTGTTACTTTTGAGCGTCACTGTATTGTTAAACTAGTTTGCATGATTTTATCATCTAAAGAGCATTTGGAGACTTGTGTCCTATCACACCCCCACACGTACATAAACAAGTAGACATGGGTTTCCCTGCTCTGCCATGTTAACCTTCTCATTGTCTTTACTCACAGACACTGACGGAGTGGGTGGCCATCGAGAGCGATTCTGTGCAACCCATGCCTCATCTCAGACAGAAACTCTCCAGGATGATGGTCTTGGCTGCAGACAAACTCCAACACCTGGGAGCTGGGGTGGATTTTGTGGACTTGGGTTTTCAACAGGTACTGGTGGGTTTCCCTCCAGCTCAGGACCCTCTACTTCTGGGGCATTAGACATGCCTTCCTTTGGTGGTAGCAAGAGGATTTACTCTGATCCTCACCCCAAGCCCCACAGAGTCCAGAGTTCCCATAAGAACAAAGCAACCCCCTAGTCCCAAAGGAGACTGTGTTACTGTCTGGTCACAGCAGGACTCAGGGCAGGCTAAGAAGCAGTGGAAGTCATGAATGAGGGCCAGCTTGTTAGGGAAAGACCTGTCCCTCCTGCATTCTCGCTTTTCCCCATTGCCTTTCCTTATACACATAGCCTTCTTTCTCAAAAGACCCATATGGAGAGCGCATTCTTTCCTCAGAACCACTGTTTAGAACTGCCACTCTGTCATGAATGGCAGATCTACATCAAAGCGTCCAATGTCTACTGCTTTTGCACCGAGAACTTCATCCAAGTTTTCCAAGGTTTGGCCCAGCAACTGTAAGCCAGTTGAGATCTGGGTTCTTTTTTAAAATATGTCCAATGAACTAAAAACCATCTGGCAATGTATATCTGATAGGTGTTGATAAGCAGAATTTTAATTATGCTTCATGTATTTATTAAAAGTGTATCAAGGTAAGCGTTTTAGAGAAAGTGATACTCAGAAAAATGTTGTAGGAGTTACAGGGACCTAAGGGTAGAGTAGAACTGAACGTTGTAGAATAACAACAGAGTTGTTGCTTTTAAATAATGTGATTCACTCTCCTGCAGATGCCTGATGGTCAAAGTCTTCCCCTACCTCCCATCATACTGGCTGAGCTAGGAAATGATCCAAACAAGCCCACTGTGTGTTTCTACGGACACCTCGACGTACAGCCAGCTCAGAAGGATGATGGGTGGTTCACAGACCCCTATACACTGACGGAGGTAGATGGTCAGTGACACCAGATTCATGGGGATGGTTCTTGTCTGCAGTTGGGAGGCTTGCACACAGAATTGGACACTGCCCCAAGTCTGTAGCTATCATTAAGAATAAATGAATAGAGCTAGGCTTGGTGGCACAGGCCTGTAATCTCAGCTACTCAGGAGGCTGCAGTGAAGGATCACAAGTTCAAGCCCAGCCTGGGCCACAAAAGTGTGTTTGAGGCCAGCCTGGGCATCTGAGGGAAACCCTGTCTCAAAATAAAATGTGAAAAAAGATGGCGGGGATGTAGCTCAGCAGTAAAGTGCTTGCCTAACATGGACTAGGCCCTGGATTTACATACATACACACACACAGACACACACAGACACAGACACACACACACAGGGGAGGTGTGAAGGAGAGGAGGAGATGAATAGAAATGTTGTTTTCATGTCTATCAGTTCAATGAGATTGATTTTCTTCCATTCGTGCAAACTATGAGCCTTGTATCTTTGTGACCCTGGATGGGAATTCTTGGCTGAGGAAAAGAACACTTATCTAAATTACACATTGCCTTTTTTTTTTTTTTTACAATATCAGATATAATTTGTATTTTGTAAAGAAAGAAAAGAAAGAAAGAAAGAATGAATGAAAGAGAGAAAGAAAGAAAGAAAGAAAGAAAGAAAGAAAGGCTAATAGCAATTTCATTCTTCCAATTGAAAAAAATCTCAAAGTGAGAAACTATGCTATGTGCTATTCAGTAAAAAACCGTCAGGTGCTATCAGTGAACTTGGATAAAACAAGTAAGTACTGCAAAGACCAGTGGAATATGTGTATTTTAAATATGTGCTATTTTAGATGACTAGATGTTGAACATTCATTTGTATATATGAAGTTATACCCTGCATTCCTTTTTTGTTTGTTGTTGTTTTGTTTTTGAGACAGGGGTTCATGTGTCCCAGCTTGGCCTTGAACTTGCTATATAAGCCAAGGTTGGCCTTGAATTGATCCTCTTGCCTCCACCTCCCAATTGCTAGGATTTTAAAAATGTACCATTTAGAGCTAGATTTGTGCCTGGACTATTAGAAATTATCATTAAAAGTATAACATAAAATAACGCTTTTTAACTACTGACACAAAATACAGCTTTCTCCTAAAAGAGAATAAGAAATAGTTTATTCTGGAGCCAAATACAAGTGACCAGAAACAGACTCAAGTTACCCCAAATATCATGTTCCATTGTGGAAGTGGTTACATGGGATCGTTATTAGGTAAAGAACAAAGGAAGTCATAAATCAAAGCATTTACCAAATATGTTGGTGGAGACCACACGTAGGTCTGCTGTAGGTTTCAGATGCTATCTGATGACATTCTTAGTGTCTGTATTTGTGGAAGCCTGGGTCTGTTCCGAATACATTGTGAGGTTTTGATAGGATGATGTTAGGTCAGACACAGGGCTGGGCAATGAAAGGACTCTAAAGGGACTAAAATACCCTGTGATAATTTGACTGTGGTCTGCAAATCACAAAGTTCAGTCATTTGAACTTACAGAACTCTAACAGAGGTGTGACTTTTATCTGGGATCTTGTGTTCATGTAACTAATTCAGCTTGGCAGATGTGCCTGTACCATTTTGAAAGTTTCTTCTCTCATTTTTAAAGGAAAACTGTATGGACGGGGAGCAACAGACAACAAAGGCCCTGTCTTGGCTTGGATTAATGCTGTGAGCACCTTCAGAGCTTTGGAGCAAGTAGGTGACCATCTGTGCTTAGGAGAAAGGGTGATCACCATGAGGTAAACAGAGTAAAAACATGCCTCGAGCACATTGCACTGGGACATGTATTTTCCCAAATAATCTTTGGGGGTGTATATTTTGGTCACAATCATTTAGAGAAAACAGTAAAGCTTGGCAAGGTCAGGGAACTTACTTGGAGCAGCCCAGCTGAGGAACGAGTGCAGATTCCAGCCTATAGTGTGAGCCACATCTAAAACAGAACATGGGGCTAACACGATGGCTCAGTAGGTACTTGCTGCCAAGGGTGGACCTGAGTCCCTGGAGAAAACCAATGCCTGCAAGATTTCCTTTGTTCTCCACCTGTGCACCATCACCTATGTACACCTATCCATCTATCTCCCACTGCCCCAACTGAATCATTAAATCAATAAATAAATGTTAAAAACAAACAAAATAACAGAGCACTGTGCTGGAGAGATAGTTCAGTGGGTAAAGTGCTTGTCATGCAAACATGAATATCTGCATTTGGATCCCCAGCACCCACATAAAAGCTGGGTAAGGCAGCACATGCCTGTATCTCCAGAGCTGGGAGAACAGTGGAGACAGGCAAACCCTGGGAGCTTTCTGATCAGCCAGACTTGGCCAAACAGTGCCTCCAGGTTCAGTGAGAGATCCTGTTTCAAAACATAAAATGGAGAGTGACAGAGGAAGAGATCTAATGTTGATCTCTGATCTCCACATGATCATGCATAGTTGAGTGAAATCCCCACCCCGCCCCCTGCCCCAGCACAACACACCACACACACACACACACACACACACACACACACACACACACACACACAAATCAGAATATAACAAAAACAATGATGAGCCAATAACTGTCTATTGGCTTTGTTATCACAAAGCGTAGTTGGGTTAACAGAAACACACACATATTTGAAAACATATTAGCTACTTTGCAAATCTAGGTAGAAATCCCTGTCTGTTACCTGAGCCTCTATCTGGAGGCCACTGGGCTTTTTCCCTGATGTTGATCATTTTCCATATAGGGTCATAGAAGCAAAGTTGGGGAGGAGCTTTGAGGAGGTGGTCCACTCTTTCCTACCATCAGAGGTTAATCCATCCATTATAGGTGGATCCAGATGGATCTTTGTCTTCTACTTTGTTCTGACAATGATGGTTTTATTTCCAGTCATTCATCTTCTGATAGACTCCCAAAGGAAGACTGAATCTGTTGCATGAGTTTTTTTGTTGTTGTTGCTTTTTATTTTTTATTTTTTTGGTCTTTTTGAGACAGGGTCTCCCTGCTATAGCCCATATTATATAGCCCCAGATGTCCTGGAACTCACTATGTAGACCAGATTGGCCTTGAACTCACAGAGATCTGCCTAGTTTGCTTTGTTGTTATTGTTGCTCCTGTGATAAAACACTGACCAAATCCAACCTGGGGAGGAAAATGTATATGTGTCTACACCTCCACACCACAGTACATCTTAAATGGAAGCCAAGGCAGGAACTAAAGGAAAGAGCCTGGAGACAGGAGCTGAAGCATAGACCATGGAGGAATGCTGCTCCCTGGCTTGCCCTTCTGACTTGCTTGGCTACTTTTCTTTCTTTTTTTCTTTGTTTCTTTGTTTCTTTGCTTCTTTCTTTCTTCCTTTCTTTCTTTATTTCTTTCTTTCTATTTTACTCTTATTTTATTTCATTTTTTTCTCCCTCCCTCCCTCCCTCCCTTCCTTCCTTCCTTCCTTCCTTCCTTCCTTCCAAGTGCCACCTGCCTCTGCCTCCTGAGTACTGGGGTTAAAGGCATATGTCACCAAGCCCGGTATTTAGCTACTTTTCTTGTATAGCCCAGGTCCATCTGCTCAGGGATGGTATGGCCCATGGTAGGTTGTGCCCTCTCATATCAATCAGCAATTTAAAAAATGCCTCACAGACATGGTCATTGGCAATTCTAATGGAGAAAATTCCTCAACTGAGGTTCCTTTTTTCCAGGTGACTCTAGCTTGGGTCAGGTTGACAAAAAATTAACCAGCACAAAGTGGGTCACTACACCTTACATCTTAAGGCTCTGCCCACTGTTAGCTGGGCTTTACAGAGAGAGGTCCTGTGGTAAAGGGCAAGGAGCCAGGCACCTGACCTTGGGAATTCATGCCTCCCTCTCTAGGAGGCAAAGCAACACAGGGTTTTCTAGAATACTGAGGTGGCTTTGGCATTCCAAAGAGCACTATAAGACTCTTCTGACCAGTTTCTCTAATGTTCACATTCAACTTATCAATGACTGCACATTCCTCAAATTGTAGTCTAGAGCAGGAGTCTGCAGTCACACCAGTATTCAGAAGGAGCATCGCTCAGTGTGGTATGATCATTATACATTTGTGCTGTCTTTGTGGGAGGTGGAACCTGAAGGGAATTAGACCTGACCCTGCCAAGTCTTTGCTCTTCATCTGTGACAGTTATGGAGCTAACAACTGAAAATACTCAGCCTTCCTGCCTTCTCCTTGTCTTGTATCTGTGCATAAGCACACTAGATATTCATGGAGGAAATGGGGTGTAATGGATCCATTCACAGAGGAATGCCCCTACCCATCTTCCCTACCTGACCCAAGCAAAAGGTTCTGGGGCACAGCACTCCCTCCAAGCAGAGGAAGCTTGAGTCCAGTCATGCATGTGTATCTCATCTGTGCTTGGGGGGAGGGTGATGAATACAAGACCACAAAGAAAAACCCACCCTGCCCAGGCGCCAGGCTTAGTCCTTGGATGGTGTCTCTCCATAATGCTGACCAACCAATCATACAAGAGTATTTCATCAGATGCCAGGGGCTTCTCTCTGAGGAGTTCTTTTTTTTTTTTTCAACTGGGACAAAAGCAGATGAGAAGGGAAGTTACCCTTGGACTCAAATTCTTTATTTTACTGAGAAAAACAAGCTCAGTATATTAGGAGGCATTTCTGCCTGGGTCCTGCTGAGCCTTACATAGCTGTCTTTTTTTTAATTTTATTTCATTTTTTTGTCTTTTTGAGACAGGGTCTCCCTGTAGCCCCAGCTGTCCTGGAACTCACTATGTAGATCAGGCTGGCCTAGAACTCACAGAGATCTGCCTGCCTCTGCCTCCCGAGTGCTGGGATTAAAGGTGTGTGCCACCACGCCCAGCTCATAGCTGTCGTATACACAGAACTTGCTTAGCTAAATAGGCCCTGAACGTTGACATGGCCTGGGCCCTTTCCCACATTCTTTCACCTCTCCCTCCCTCCATGCTTTCTTTCCCTCTCTTATTTCTTTCTCTTTGTCCCCTTCTTCCCTTTCCCCTTTCTTCCCTCCCTCTTCCCTCTTTCCCTCCCCTCCCCTTCCCTCTCTTCTTTCCCCTTACCCCTTTCTCCTCCTCCTCCTCAGCTCCCTCTCCCCTTCCAGTTCCTTTTACTTCCATTCAGTTGAGTTTCCTTTTCTTTTTTCTTTACCATCCTGTTCTCTCTCCCCTTTTTTTCTTCCCACCCTCCCTCCCTCCCTCCCTTCCTTCGAAAGTGTGGTAGGTAACCAATACTTAATAAGGAAATTCCTATATAAAGGTCACAATCTGCTTTACTTTTTAAGTTTAGTTCTGCAAGTTATACACTCACAGACAAACCATAAAAAATACTTGGTTCCCTTGGACACATCTTTTTAATCTCCCTGAACCTCATTTTCAGTGGCCTGTGAACTACAAATGAGCATTTCTACCCCTCAGGCTTGTGGGGAAGATTAAATGAAGAAAGATTTGCAAGCCAGGCATGGTGGTTCACACCTGGAATCTGGGTCCTTGGGAGGCTGAAACATGGGCTTGTGACTTCCAGGCTAGCCTGGACTACATAATGAGACACTGTCTTAAAAAATACAAAATACCCACAGAGGGGTTCTGGTGACCCCAGCCCACCATGAATTTTTATTTCTTCTTCCCTCCTCCTTTCCTCACTTCATTTTTGCTTCAAAGCACTTAAACTAAGAAGCAGAGCATCCATTAATACCCTTGTTTCATCTCAGAGAAATGAACCACTTCGAGGTGAAACAGCTTATCCCAGCTTATCCCAGGTCCCTTGAGAAGAGACCAAATACAGACATGGCCGCTGGTCCAGCAATCCTCCAACACTTAGCAGCGATTGGTTTGGTTTACATCTTATTAAATGTGATTTGCTGGAAAATTTGTTAGCTTTCTAGCTTTATCTCAGTGATTGTGTGCTCATCAAATGCTGACAAATAACTTCTGAGTATTACGACTCAGAACTTCAGCTCCCCTTCATAGAATACAGACATGTAATTGGTATCTTACAGTAAATCTTTATGCCCAAATGCCCTTATCTGAATGAATGACTGAAGGTCACTTACTTTCCAAGGCATAACCCTCTTCTCATTCTGCATTTCCATCTACCCTGCTCAGTGGTAACCCAACCCCACTTCTTAGGTGGGACTACCCCAGCTATGCTCTGTCATTTATCAGCATGTGATTGCTGTTAGTGTCCTCAGAAGTCAGCTCTGTGCTCTAGGAGAAAAATTCTGATCTCTTACTGTGGCCCTCAAAGAGAGGAGGTTACAAATTATACAAACAAAAAGGATCAAAACTGTATGGGAAAAGAGGCACATTATAAAAAGTTTTAAAGGTGGTGTCACATGCCCAGCATTACATGGAGAAAGCTTTAAGTTCCATTTTTCTTCAAGATCAAAGCCTTTGAGCAACTCAAGCAGATTGAAATCACAGTTGAAAGAAAAATTATCCTGAGGCTTAACAATGTTTCAAAGGAAAAAAGTTCTCAGTTATCACATTTAGACTTATGGGAACAGAAGAACAATTTGTAATTGAGTAACCTTTCTTCAAAAATTCTTTTTAGACAGACTAGGGAAATGTTTCATTTGGTAAAGTGCTTGCCATGTAAGCATAAGAATCCATGTTCAGATCCCCAGCACCCTTGCAAAATGCCAGGTATGCACACCTAGCTAGAGGAACACAGACAGGAAGAGGTCTGGAATTCTCTGGCCAGCCAGGCTGGCCAAAATGGTGAGCTCTAGTTTCAGGGAGAGACTTTGTCTCAAAACGTAAGGTGGAGGATGACTGAGGAAGACACCGATGGACCTCTGGCTTCCAAATACATGTACTCACACACGGATCTGTACACATACCCATATACACACATATACCACACACATGTACACAGACAATTCCTTTTAGGAATTACAGTCAAGATTGGTGTGGATGCTGCTGAGCCTGTAGGGGTTCTGTCCCAAAATTTGTCCAATTATTGAATTGAAGGGCCACATGGATTCTAACTGCTGGATTTACCTTGACTTCTCCTCTACCTCTATAAATGGAGCTGCTGGGAATGTAAACAATTCATACATTGAATGTAGCTGTGTTAAATACAAGTATATAAAGAAAACCTTGCTTGAGCATGTTGAATAATCTGTTCTGTTGTTAATTCAGGATCTTCCTGTGAACATCAAATTCATTCTGGAAGGGATGGAAGAGGCGGGTTCTGTTGCTCTAGAGGAACTTATCAAAAGAGAAAGGGACCGCTTCTTCTCCAGTGTGGACTACATTGTGATTTCAGATAATCTATGGATCAGCCAGAGGAAGCCCGCACTCACCTATGGAACACGAGGGAACAGCTACTTCCTGGTGGAGGTTCTGGTGGGCCCCACACATGGAGGGAGGTTGAAGCTGTGGACAGGACAGAGGAATTATTGGGAGCCTTGAAGAGGAAGCCAGGAAGCTCTCACCTGGGACACAGTCTGGGTGACCACAGAGGTCTTGGGTCCAGTGGGTATGGTTCATGAACTCCTGAAAACTTAGCATGGATATTCTTGTGTGTATTTTTTTCTAGAAGAGTTCTAGAGGTAGAACTATGGGTATGGAATCTGGAGGCAGGAATAATAGTGCACCAAGACAGCTACTGTGTCATGCTGTACCACTACCCTGCTTGTGCCTGAGGGCCTCAGTGGTAGGAGACTCTAGTGCCGTGGTCAAGAGGAAAGATAAGGCTGATAGCCATCAGAGGCTTTTGGAATGCACAGCCTCATACAGATGTCTTAACCTTGAGCCTTGGTTTCCCACCTCAAAATTTAGTGCAACCCACCTTCCCACCATGACTATTCTACCTTTTAACTCATTTTCAGTAATACAGGCAACTGTAATAACACATACAATTTAGAACCAAAAAATCCCACCTGGGTATTAGTTGACTCTAGTTTTTTTTCTCACATAGCAAGGTGTAGATTTACTAGTTGTATGAACATGTCCAAACATAGACACTTAAAGATTCAAATGTTATAAACCAGATAGAAACATCATACATTTTTATAATTGAAAAGCAATGTGTTGGGGATATAGCTTGGTGAAGGAATGCTTGGTTGACTAGTGTGCATGAGGTCCCAGGTTCCACCCCAGCACTAGCAGGAAGAAAGAGGTGGGGGAGAGGAGGAAAGAGAAAGTAAAAGAAAAAGAAAAACAATGTGTTCTCTTTGTTAGACACAATGATGCAAATCCCAGGGATATAGGACTACATACAACTGCCTCTGCTTCCAGGGAGTTTATGCAATGAGACTCTGCTTAAAGAGATGATGTGGGAATTAAGAGAAAACAGGATACCAGAAGCTGGAATGTCTGGTAGAAGCCTCTGTCAATGAACTTGGTTGTGGGAAAGAGAGGTGGTCATGGTTAGAGGGAGCACAGAAGCCCAGGCAACATTCCAGAGGCAGTGGAAAAGGGAGTAGCAGGAGATCTGGAGGAGGGGTTATTTATGAGAACTAAGGCACCGAGGAGGTGGGCAGAGATGAGATCTTGCACTAAGGATCTCTTTTAATCTCTTCTGCAACAGTGTCAGGTAGACAGACAGATAAAAATTGACAGAACATCATATTTTGCTATTGGCCCCTTTATTTTTCTGCTGAATAGGAAGAAAGTTTGCCTGCAGAAGAGCAATGGCTATGGGAGTGGCTGTGGGTAAAGGGCCCCACTAGAGCAAACAGTATCAGGTAGTTTTAAGGCTATAGCATCATTTGAGTAGATGGGCCCGAGAAAAACCACAAAAGTAGGCTGACTTCAGCTGTAGCCATTCCCACTAGGTATGATGGAGAAAGTACTGAAAAGTGCATCGAGATGGGGCCCACAGAAAGGTGGAGGAGCCGCAGCAGCATCAAATGGGGGGGGGGCGGTATAAAAAAAGAAAAGATTTCAGGAATCCTGGAAAGGCCAAGGAACTGAAAGTCTTTTTTTTTTTTTTTTTTTTTTTTTTTTTTTGAGACAGGGTCTCCCTGTAGCCCCAGCTGACCTGGAACTCACTATGTAGACCACGCTGGCCTTGAACTCACAGAGATCTGCCTGCCTCTACCTCCCGAGTGCTGGGCTTAAAGGCATATGCCACCATGCCTGGTGGACCTGAAAGTCTTAATAAGGACCAAGAACAGGTGGTAAAGTGACAAGAGAGAAGTTGTGATGGAGAAGCAGGACAGGTGGCTTAGGATTTCAGATGTGAGACTGACAACCCCAATGTGCTTCAGTCAGTACTATTGCCTAATAAAATGAAGGACTCACACTGAAGATGACTCACCTTCCACTCAAGGTGAATGGAAGTAGGCAAAGACCTGGTAGGCAGGAATGATAGGAGGGAAGGACCTGGAGACAGTATTTAACCTAAGTGGTAGCTGATGGGGTATGCTGTCGAAACTCAAAGGAAGTCCTTGTAGAAGACACTGAATTTGGTTCAGATCTGCTGAATTTCAGAAACTGGAAACACGTTCAAGTGGCATACTCTAAGCAACTAAAGTTTTAAGCTCTTGGTTTAGACAAAAGGTCAGACCTACATGGATGAGAACTTAAGGGTAGGTGGCAGTAAATATTGTGTGAGTACCCCAAGATTCAAAGGAAGTCATGGAGAAAGTTACAGAAAACGCAAAAAGAAAAGAATCACCAGAGGAGGACTTGGGAGATGGCTCAGTGGGTAAGAGCACTCATGCAAGCATTAAGACCAGAATTCAAACACCCCAATTCAAATGCCCATGTAAAAGCTGAACATGGCTTCAGGTATCTGTCACTACAGTGTTAGCAGCTGAGTCAGGCAGACCTAGTGAGAATGCTGGCTAGCCAGCCTCAGCAAAATGGTGAGCTTTGAGTTTAATCAGAGACCCTACCTCAAGGGAATATGGTGGAGTACATAGACGCACCGGGCATCCTTCTTTGGCCTCTTTGTGTGTGTGAAAGGTGCACACACACACACAAGTGCACACACACACCCATATACCATCCATCCATTACACACACACACACACAAAGAGAAAGAGAAAAAAGTTATTAGAGAAGGCATCAAGAGAATTAATTGTCCTACAACTGAAAAGAGTTTCCCAGAACAGAAGGGAGAATTTCTCCAGAGAGGTGATCTACAGCACTGGTGAAGCCAAAAGCAAATCAGCTGTATGAACACCAATAATTTGACAAGGCGGACCTGGTCATCTTAGATAGTTTAATGTTAGGTTGGGGAACCAAGTCAGTTTCAAGGGTCATGAATCGGTGGAAAATGCATACAGAGAAGGGCAGAGCCTCCAAGTCATATGGCTGAGAAACATGAGGTCAGGTCTGGAGGTCACTCACCTGAATCCTGAGGGTCACTACTGGGCATCCAGGTGAAAAGCTGCTACTGAAGGAACCATGGCCGCAGGTAAGTCTCTTCTCCTTTGTCTCCTTTACAGGTGAAATGCAGAGATCAAGATTTCCATTCAGGGACCTTTGGTGGCATCCTCAATGAACCAGTGGCTGATTTGGTTGCTCTTCTTGGTAATATCTTATTCCACTTCCCTTTGTGAGCACCAGTTCTGTTTGGCCTCTGTGGCCTTTCCCCTGGTTCCTGAATTGGCTCTGAAAATGGTTGTAAACAAAAACCATATTAGTCTTTTAACCTCTTGCTTGAATGTTCTCTAGGCATATAATTAATCCTACATTATTTCTTTTCATGGACTAAAACTCTTATTTATTTATTCTTTATTTTAGGTTATATTTATTTTTTAAAATTATTTTGTGCTTGTACATATATATGTGTGTTGATGTAGGTGCATGTGCACGTGTGTGCAGGTATATGTACATGCACATGCTTGTGTAGGTCAGACATCAACCTGAGATATCATTCCTTGGGTGATGTTCACTTTCTTTTTCTTTTGTTTTTGAGATAAGGTCTCTGAATGGGACCTGGAGCTTGCTGGGTAGGTTAGGTTGCCTGGCCAGCAAGCCTCAGGGATCCTCTTGTCTCTGCATCCCCATTGTTTTTTTACATGGGTTCTGGAGATCAAACTCAGGTCCTCATGCTTTCATGGCAAGCACTTTACTGACTACGTCATCTCTCTAGCCCCTAAAACTTCTTTTTTATTAGCTATTGACACACATCTGGCCATATACAAAGGCAAGAATGTAGAGACCCATCCCTGACTCTGTCTCCAGGACCATGGGGTGGGAGGGATGAGATTTCCAAGCCAGTTGAACCACAGGTTCCACTTCGGAAGATCTGGGAGGACTTTTTGACTGCAGATAAGTGACAACCAAAACAGAAGGAGCTAAGTAATGTCATGATGCCACTCTCCTAGCAGCCTCTTGTGTCACTCCATACATAGAGCCCTATGGCAGCCAAGCCCTTGGCACACAGGGACCATGCATCAGAGCATGTGGGTTCCTGATGAGAGTGACCAGCTGTACTCCTGCTCTACCACAGACCAGCTGGATAACATTGGGCAAGTTACTTAAATTGTCTAGTTTTTGGTTTTCTCAATCACAAGTTGGCATTATTACATGCTTGCCTAGTAAGTGTTATTTTGAGGATTTTGTAAGATGTGCATGTGGAATATTTACCACAGGGGCTAGAATATGGAGTGCCCAGAGATGACTAATGGTCTGCTCCAGTCAGAGAGAGCAGCTCTTATCAAGGACTCCAGAGATGATGCCAAACATGTAGGCACTACTTGGCATCATTTTCCAAGGTTGCTATGGTACAGACATGCCAATGTATTTGCTGATTGCACGTCACCAATCCTCTGCTCCTGACCTCCTGAAGGTTGATTGGCCTGTGTAAGAAGAGGTTTTTTTTCAGGTGCACAATTTGCCCAGGTTTGACCTACCTTGTAGCCCTTCTCAGCATCAAGGCTGCCTAGGTGGAAGCCCCAGGAAGCTAAGGAAACTTAAACTTGAGACACCCCACTTGCAGCAGCCCCTTCCACAGTTCTGGTGGGAACTGTGATCACAAGTTTATAGCCATGCTTAGTGTGTTTTTTAAAGAAATTCACAAAGTACATACTACCTCAATTTGACCCCTCCAGCACTGTGTTCTTTATGTATATTTTACCTTCTTCCCCTTTAGGGCAGATAAATTACCAGAAGTCTTATCCTCTTGGCCTTGGTAGTAACAGACAAGAACATGATCAGCCCACATGGTGAAGCTATTGGAGGGTCTCCTCTGGGTCTTTATCAACATCTATAGTTGAAGAGCTTCCCTCTTCATTGCACCCAAATTAAACAGTGAAATCAATCTACATTTTGATTATCTATCAATCATCTGTCTACCTACCTATTATCTATGTATTCTATGACTATAGATTTTCTTAAATATTAATATAACTCTTGGGTAGTATCTCTTATGCTTGACAATTTCAGACAGGATATACAAGCTGTTTTCCTTTAAAGAATTCAGATAATATGCAACCTAACATCTGGGATAAGAATGGCTGACCTTGTAATTTAACAGAGGAATTTCTTTTTCTCTGATAACTGAATCATCAAATATTTTATATTTATATATTTTATTATTTATTTATTTATTATTTATTTATTTTCATTTGGTAGAGACAGGGTCTCACACTGTACGCTAGGCTAGCCTGGAACTCATGGCAAGCTTCCTGTCTTAGCCGCTCAGTTTCTGGGATTATAGGCGTAAACCACTACGCCCAGCTTCACATCACCAAATTTTGAACAATGCATTTCAAGTTTTCCCTCAGGCATGATGGCTATGTACATTGTTTTAGATTATATGGCTTTCAGCAGGCATAGAGTTTCACTTAACTTCACAAATGTGTATTACTCTGCTAAGGAAAAGCCATAGCAGGATCATAAATAGAATGAAAACACAGAGTTCCATATGTTTTTGGTGCAAGCCAAATAGTTCATTATAAAGTAATTTCTGGATTGTGTCCTCCATCTGTCCTCTGAGTTTTATACACAGTCATAGGAACAGGTAGATTGTTAATGTTGATGAGGCTAACAGGAGTTTTGCTGGCATTCTGGGCTGGGCTGTGGTGAAGAAACCTTAACAGTAGGTTGAACCTGATATCCTGACTCAAGGCCACTGCAGACCACAATGTCTTTGGGGAGCTGGCTGTCCTATGTCCTCCCCTGCTGACTGACAAGTAACAAGTTCATCAGGAAGCTGGAAATATAGAGCCAGCCTATTCTTATCGAAGCCTGTGTCCTGCAGAGTCCTAGTCAGCATGATCCTGGTGACTACTGTGATTAATAAAAGCAACAAATGCTCATTGAACACCAAGTGTGCAAAGCCCATGTGCAAAGCTCCCTCTGCTGGGAGGACAATATGAGAGCAAAAAAAAAATTCCCTGTTTCAAGTAGGCTTAAAAATGTCATAGGTTGGGCAGCTAGTGTGGTAGCCTTTAATCCCGGCACCAAAAAACAAAAAAACAAAAACAAAAACAAAAAACAAAAAAAAAAACTTTGTAGGTTGGGATGGCAGGGGATGGAGAAGAATATTTGTGCTCTCAGATAAATATCCAACCTTCCCCTTTGTAGTCATTTTACTCTGCAATTTCTTTTTCTTTCTTCCTTCCTTTCCTTCATTTCTCTCTCTCTCCTTCTTTCCTCCTCTCTCTCCCCTTCCTTCCTTTTTTCTTCTCTCTCTCTCTCTCTCTCTCTCTCTCTCTCAACAAAGTCTCCCTGTAGCCCGAGCTGGCCTGGAATTCACTTTGTAGACTAGAGACCAGGCTAGTCTTGAACTAACAGAGATTTGCCTGCCTCTGCCTCCCAAGTTCTGGGATTAAAGGTGTGCACCACCACTCCTGGCATCATTTGTCTTTGATAGGCACTTGTGTGTGTGTGTGTGTGTGTGTGTGTGTGTGTGTGTGTGGTGTAGGAGAAAGTTGAGAAAAGATAATGGGAATTTTCACTTTCTAATGTATTTGTATATATATAAATATATATCTGTATGTATTTACATAAGCACACAACATACAAACATAATTACACATATATTCAATATTTAAGAATTAACACCCATTATTTAATTTTTTATTTTTATTTTATGTGTATGAATGTTTTACCAACATGTATGTCAGTGTACCCATGCAAGCAATGCCTGTAGAGACCACAAGAGGGCATTGGATCCCCTGGAACTCGAGTTAAGGACAGTTTTAGTTTCTATGTGGGTGCTGAGAACTGACCACTGAGTCACCTCTCCATCCCTAATACCCATTATTTCTTAACTCAGGACCAGAAAAAAATGGAAACGTGAGGCTTGTTTATGATACAAAAGGTATAGCTGAAAATTTAACCTATTACAGACCCATGTGTGTCAGCTCTGCACTTGATAAGGTGGTCATTGGAGCAGTCTGACTGAGGCTGTCTGCCTTGTGACCAGATCCTTCTTGGGACCATAATCTCTTAGGTAAAGGAGTTGTCAGTGGTTCTGGCCAGGGACCTAGAGACTGTCATGAGGTCTGCCACCACACAGGAGAGCCATTGCCAGTCCTGGTTCCAGGGCCATAGCATCAGCACAGTTGTGATTTCTACACAGCTCTGCTCTCTATGTTTCTTTGGTAGGCAGCCTGGTGGACTCATCGGTTCACATCTTGATTCCTGAAATCTATGACCAAATGGCTCCTATTACAGAGGAAGAAAAAAAAATGTATGAAACCATTGATGTGAACCTAGAAGAATACAAGAATAGCAGCCAAGTTGAGAAATTTCTGTTTGACACCAAGGTATGGCTCCAAATGAATGGATGATCTGAAAGAATGCTTCTAATAGATCATGTTTTTACAGTGTCTAATCAGTACCACACAGTGCTAATCTGTGCATTTTAGAACCCAAAGCAAATGTTAATTCCTAGGCAGATTTTTTTGACAGTCACGGCCACTTTCCTGTAGTCCAGATCTCCCAGTACTAAAGTCCAGTTGGCACTGGCTTCTGGCACCTAACCATGAATCTTGGTTCACTTGACAGCAGTGCCTTCCCACAGCAGTTTACTAATTTACATCCTTCAGCTAAGAAGACAGACCTCTTAAATTTTAAAGATTGGGGGGCATTGTCTGAGACTGATCCATCTCCAATACCTGTAATCATTCACTTTCCCATTTTTAACTAAGAGCCTTCAGGACTGACTGGCAAGCCAGTGCATTCCATTCTCTTGTGTACTGAGGAAATCCACAGAGCTCAGAGCAGGAATTCTTGAACAATTTAGACATTTTGTTTCTTTCTCCTCCTCCTTTTGAGAATATTTGCCTTCTCAGATATTGGTAGCTATGGCTGGTTCCCCAGGAACTGCCCAGAGAAGGCAAGATCATGCTGATAAGAAGTGATAGAGCTTACTGTGGAAGTATATGTCTTCCCACAGACTATGGACTATAGTCTATGAGACTACACAAGAAAGAAATTGGCTCAAATGATGGAGTTTTTTGAGGACTTCTGAGGGATCAAATTTGCTACACACACCATTGTACTGTCAGTAGTCAGAAATTTATAATTGATTGAGCTTCTCAAAATTATCTTTTCTTTCAAAATTTTATCTTATTTTCATGTGTTTGTGATATATGCATGAGATTGTGGGCGTATGTCTCGGCAGTCAGAGGGAAAGTTTTGTCACGGCAGTCAGAGTCACTTCTGTCCTCCACCTTGTGGAGGCAGGAACTTCTTGGTTTGCTTCTCTGCATACCCCAGGCTCCCTAGTCTATGAGCTCCCTTAACTCTGCCTTCCATTTTGCTGTAGGAGTACTAGGATTATGGATGTGCACCTTTGCTTTTTTCAGGGGGATTAAACTTGGGTTCTTAGGTTTGTGCAGCAAGCGCTTTTACCCATCAAGCCATCTTGCTAGTCCTGGATTCAATTTCTGAACCTTGGGCAGGGAGGAGTCCTGGCGGGTAGGGGCAGCTGAAAGCACCAGGAGAAAAGAAGACTCATGTCCTGAGGGAGAAAACCACCTACTATTGAGTCCAGATACAGCTAAGGTCTCAGGTACACAGATGTTGGAGACACAAGCAAATTAATTCAACTGAGGTTTATTTTATTTGCTGGACTAGGGATTGACCCCAAGTCTCATGCATCCTAGACAAGTACTCTATTATTGAGCTATTTCCCTAACCCTTTCTAATTTTTATTTTGAGAGTGTTTACTAAGTTACTCAGTGTTAGATTTAGGAGAGCAGAAAATGATAGAGTTTAGATTTTAGAAATAAGAACAAGAGCCAGACCTGCAACAGGCAAATACTATGTCCTTTATTAGGGTATCACAACAAAGGGCAGAAGCTTTTCTTCAGGAGGAAAGCATCTGCATCTAATGAAGGGGGTTGTGGTTTATATAGGAATTCTGCTGAACACATTTGCAGGAGTTTACTTGGTGCCAGGGTCTGATGTCCCTGGGTGATTAAAAGTCTCCCTCACAAGGTTATTTTCTCAGACAGGGCAGGCGAGCTATCTAGGGCACTAAAAGAGACAGGTTGGCTCCACAGTCTCCTTCAGTCCTGGGAGTGACCAGTTGATAAGGCTTGAGAACCAGTTGGCCACTTTAAGGGATTTATGGTTTTATGGCTTTCCTAATGAGGCTTATGGATTTCCTGAAATTCACACATTCTATCACTAAGGCTGTTCTTGAACATGCTAAATAGTCCAAATAAGATTCAGATTTTCAATCTATGTGCCTTACCCTCCCAAGTAGCTAGAATTACAGGCCTGTCCCTCTACTGAGTTTATACTGTTTGTTTGTTTTGAAACAGGGTCTCTCTTAGCTGAGGTTAGTCTTGTACTCACTAAGGAGCCAAGAATGACCTTGAACTCCTGATGCTCTTGCCTCTACCTCCCAAATGCTAGGATCACAGGCATCTTTCAAACACCCAGATTATGCAGTGCTGGGGTTTAAACACAGAGAATCATGCATGCTAGGAAAATACTCTACCAACTAAGCTACAGGCACAGTCCTCAACTGAGTTTATTTATTGATTTTTTTTTCTTAATTTTAGTTTTAAATTTTGTGTATGTTTGTATGGGTTTGTACAGTGCCTCTGGAGGCCAGAAGAGGGTATCAGATCCCTTGGAGCTGGAATAGGCAGTTGTGAGTGGCTATCAGATGTTCTTTGCCTGATTTTGTTTTAATTTAGGAGGAACTCCTGATGCACCTGTGGAGGTACCCATCTCTCTCTATCCATGGCATTGAGGGTGCATTTGATGAGCCTGGAACTAAAACAGTCATCCCTGGCCGAGTCATAGGAAAATTTTCAATTCGCTTAGTCCCTCACATGAATCTTTCTGTGGTGGAAAAACAGGTAACAAGTGTCCATTGTCACTCTGCCCAGCAGTACCATTTCTGAGTTCTGAAAACCATGACATACTGAGAAATTTGGTGGTTATCACTGAAATTTCATTTTTTCTAATATAAAAGAATGGAGGAAATGTTGAGAAACCAAATCTCTTTCCACAATTACATATGCAATTACAGCAGTCAGATAAATAACCATTTAGAATCACAGTGATAGGAAAGTTTTAAAAATTGGACAGTAGCTATAAAGGCAAGATTGGTTTTGCATATAGATGGAGTAGGTAACTGCCTATGCTTGGCTGGAGCCAGAAAGTCTCAATCTCAATCATTAGTTTTCTCATGATGTCTGAAGTTAATATGTTGAATGCAGCCGTTTTAACAAAAGGACTATCTGGAAGGAGTTATGTGTCTAAACTATCAAGCCATCATTAATTTACTTCAAGTTAGTTTAATAGGAGGTAGACTCTTGAATAAAGGCACTAAGGAAATACCTCATCCCCATTCCCAGTCTCTCCCAATGTCATCGTCCTCTTTCCTCACCTTGCTGGCATAAGTATGTTCTCTAAGTCTCCTTCCTTCTTCCATCTGCCCTCCCCTCCTGCCACCTTCCTTCTTCCTTTTGGATACGCAACTGTTCCATCTCACAAAATGCACATTCCTTCCTTGTCTGATTCACAGGTATATCTTCAGTACCTAGAACAGTCCCTGGCACACAACAGGTGCTAATAAGTATTAGGAGAAGAAATAAATAGAAACAATGTTTCAGAGGATAGAGTATTCTAGGACAGTTTCCTTAGCAGCCATTGTGAAGAAAAAGAAAGGATATTGAAATGTTTCTCCTTCACTGTTTAGTTTGGAATTGTTCCCACTTTTCAGAATTTTCCAAAAATTTCAAAGTCCCTAAAATATTCACTAGAGTATTAGATCCAAAAACCAAGGACATACCAACTGAGAAGTTATATTTGTATTATGTTTCATAATTTCCAGTAAACATTAATCAAATACCACTATGGGTTAGGCACTGGAGATTACAGATACAGGTGGAGAAGGGCAATTTGAGCAAGTGTCTCCTCACTGGGTAAAGCCCAGAGCCCCTTCAATTGATTTCAGCAAGGCTATACTCATGGTATGAGAGAAGCCTAGAGTCCTTTCAACTATTGATAATGTCATCTTCTAGGTGAAGCAGCATCTCGAAGCAGTATTCTCCAAAAGGAACAGTTTCAACAAGATGACTGTTTCTATGGTACTAGGACTCCACCCATGGGTTGCGAATATCAATGATACTCAGTATCTTGCAGCAAAAAGAGCCATCAGAACAGGTGAGACTAAGATATTTTGATATCAATTTTACCAGTTTGCAATGAAATCAAGACACTTTTAAAACTGAAATACCAACTACCCTCTTTATCCATGCCTTTAATCCCAGCACTTGGGAGACAGAGGCAGGCAGAGCTCTGTGAGTTCAAGGCCAGCCTGGTCCACATAGTGAGTTCCAGGATAGCTGGGGCTACGGGGAGACCCTGTCTCAAAAAGACAAACAAACAAACAAAACAACAACAACAAAAACCTTTCCTAGACTCACAGAAGTGCCCTACAGCTTGCGTGGTACTCCCTGTGGTCATCACAACAGCCACCTCTCATTTACAGAGGACGTTAAGGCTTACAGAAATGAAATAATTTGCTATAGATATAGCACTGTGTTAGTTACTTTTTTCATCACTGTGATAAATGCCTGAAAGAAACAACTTCAGGGAAGATGGATTTACCTTGGCTTACAGTTTCAGAGAGTTCAGCCCACCATGGTAGGGGCAGGCATAGTTCAGTCATGCCATAGCAGGCCAGGAAGAGAAAGTTAAATGCCAGTACACTGCTGGCTCTCTCCTTCCCCACGTTTACTCAGTCTAGGACCCCCACTGGAGTAGTATCTCTCACATTCAGGGTGGTCCTTTCCCTATCAGCTATTCTCCTTGGAAACAGTCTCACAGGCGCACCAAGAGTTGAGCCTTAATCTTCTAGATGATTCTAAGTCCAGTCAAGCTAATAATGAAGATTAACCATCATAGGCACCCAGCTACTAAGCAGCAAAGCCAGGGTCAAATTCAAGTCTTTGGGGAAAATGATGGACTAGTAAAACTTAATGCCCACCTGATGAAAAACTCCCAGAAATGTTGGCCAACACATAAAAGTGTCTTTCAGGGGCTGGAGAGATGGCTCAATGGTTAGGACACTGACTGTTCTTGCAGAAGACCCAGGTTCGAATCCCATCATCCACATGGCAGCTAACAACTGTCCATAACTCCAGTTCCAGGGGCTCCGACAGCCTCTTCTGTCCTCTACGAGCATTGCATGCCATGGGTGCACTTACCTACATGCAGGCATAACACTCATACACATAAAATAAAAATAATAAAATATTTTTTAAAAGTGTCCTTTCAGTAGCACAGCTCAGCTTTCATGAGAGCAAGGGCAATATGCAGGAGTTAGAGTTGGAGAAACTACACTGTCCCTGTGAGTATCCCCTCTGCCTGGTCAGAGAAAGGATGGGGGTGGAATGTCTGGCTAGCATGAAGCAGGGAGTTGAAAATGGCACCTATCACATAAAGGCAGTCATTTTCTGAGAGTGCTGCTTGACTCTGTGTGTGTGTGTGTGTGTGTGTGTGTGTGTGTGTGTGCTTGCTTCTTTGTTATGCTTTGGATGAACAGTCTTCTCCAAGAAGTTTTAGCCATGGACTCATCCTTACACGGGTTTGATCCTTTAATTTCTACTCTAGGTGTTTCATTACTTCCTAAGTCCATGGCTGGACTGCCTTGCTGATGCAAACATTAATGTGGGGTTCCCCCAGAAGGGCTTCCTTGAGATGAGATTTCCATATAAAATTACAGAATATATGAGAAACCCTGTGGCAGTCTACCAACCCTAAAGCCAATGGTATTTTTCTGGGACCACCTTGGTTCTCCAGAAGGCAGCATGGTTTTGTTTGGAATGTCCTTGGTGGTACCAATTTTAATTCCCCACACTTCCAAGTCCTGAACAGGACCCATGATGGGCTGAACAGTGTGCATATACCTGGGTGCTGGCTTCTTGGCCACCAGGGAGAAGGAATATCCAGTCCTTGTTTGTGTTGAAGAAGAATATCATCCCAACAAAAGCAAAATGGAGAATTCCAGGCCTTCTTGAAGCACAAAGTCTACTGGGGTTAAGGAACATAGACCTAAAAATGACAAAAAAAGTCCAAGATTTAGAGCACACTCTTCTATGCCATCATTTCTAATGACCCCATTTTAGCATATATTTTATCAGTGAAATGTGAGAGAAAAGAAAAAGAGAGCCAGAGAGTTAGGAGGGTGAATATAATGCTAGCTGAGGAGCAACATGTTTGAAACAGCAAATGTCAACACTGTAAAGAAGTGCTCTGGGGGCTGGAGAGATGGCTCAGCAGTTAAGAGCATTGACTGCTCTTGCAGAGGACCCGGGTTTGATTCCCAGCACCTACATGGTAGCTACAAACTGTCCTTAACTCCAGTTCCAGGGGAATCCAACACCCTTTTCTGACTTATGCAGCATTGCATGACACGGGTGCACTCACATGCAGGCAATACACTCATACACATAAAATAAAAATAATAAAATATATTTTTTTAAAAAGTGGTGTGATGGTGCACACCTTTAATCCCAGCACCCGGGAGGCAGAGGCAGGCAGATCTCTGTGAGTTCAAGGCCAGTCTGGTCTATGTAGTGAGTTCCAGGGCAGCTGGGGCTACAGGGAGACCCTGTCTCAAAAAAAAAAAAAGTGCTCTGGATGGAATACATTGGACATGGGTTAGGCCATTGTGAGGGAGCCTGATCTACTAACAAGGCACATCACTTGTATCCACACTCACATTTATAGGTAAAGAGGATGTAGCATGCTCTATTTCCTTTCTTTATTTTCCTATTCCATCCCTGGCAACTTGTCCTCTGAGCTAGAGGTTAGAACTAAGATCTGGAACCTAAGGCAATAGTTGAAAGTACTCCATGGGATACTGTCCTAATTTGTTCTTCATTGCTGTGACAAAATACTCTGACCACTACTAACTTGGGGAGGAAAGAGTTTATTTATCTTATACATCCGGGTCACAGTTCATCCAGGAGCCCAAGGTAGGAACTCAGGGCAGGAACCTGGAGGCAGGAGCTGGAGCACAGGCCATGGAGGATCACTGCTTACTGGCTTGCTCCCCTGGCCCCTGCTCAGCCTGCTTTCTTATGCAACACAGGCCCACCTGCCCAGGGGTGGCACCACCCACAGTGGGCTGGGCCCTCCCACATCACTCATCAAGAAGATGCCCTTCAGACATGGCCACAGGCCAGTCCAATAGAGGAAATTCCCCAATTGAGGCTCCCTCAACCCAGGTGTGAAGTTGACGCTAAAGCTATCCAGCACAGATACCTTAAAAATTAGAAGGAACATTGTGACATCTGATTGGTAGTTAAGGACAGCTATTTGCATATTGGTTACCAAATAACAACATCTTGCTTCCACAGTATTCAATTCATGAATGTGATGGTTAGCTTTGTCAACTTGACAGAATCGCCTGGGGAAAGAGTCTCGAGGATTGGGTTGGCCTGCGGGGGCTTACCCTAATTGAGTTAATTGCTGTGGGAAGACCCAGCTCACTGTGGCAGCACTATTCCCTAGGCAGAAAGTCCTGTCCTGTACAAGAGTGGAGAAATCAATCTGAGCACAGGCAAGCATACATGCATTCATTTCTCTCTACTCTTGACTGTGGATGTGATGTGACTAGCTGTTTGAAGTTCCTGCATTAACTTTCCCGTGATGATGAACTGTAATCTGGAACTGTAAACGGAAATTGATTTCTTTCTCCATAAGTTGCTTTTTGCTAGGGTATTTTATCACAGCAACAGAAATGGAACTAGAACAGTGAGGAAACCATAGAAGTAAGCGTGTCATCTTGTGTCTTGACAAAATACACCTGACTTCTTCCAATCCTGAGAAAATATGTGACGACATCTTGCAAAACAGCTGATTGGTACCCTTTAAGAGGGTCATAGGAATTAAAGACAAGAAAACAATGTGGGAACTGCCACAGAGTAAAAAAGACTAAGGAGAAGCAGCGATCTAAGACTGGGTGGGATTCTCAAGAAGATCCAATAAAAGAAAAAGAAAACAGTGAACTTCTAATAAAGTCTGGAGTGTAGTTACTTTTAGGGAAACTATACTTCAGGCCTGACACAACAGTTGTCCTGAAGTCAGGAGAGCTATGATCACTAACATAAAACCCTCACAATATTTGGCCTTGTAACATTTCTTTGTGAAAGGAGGAAGTGTTAACACAAGGCAGATGCAAGAGGCCCCACTTCTCCAACAGCATATACAGTGGTTTACAATTTGTCCAGTAGAGAGAGATTCTTCTTTGGTGAAATAGCTGCCTGTGAGTTGCCCATGCTCTTGCAACTAACCCCAGTTGAACTCATTGGTTAATCTTGGCTTGGGTGGAATTGTTTTCCTTTGGTGTGTGTCTTAAATGTTTGTTCATCTCTACCCCAGGAAAATTGTTACAATAGTAGTCAATAATATGTGCTGTTATTAGTTTCTGATTCTTGAACATTGTACAATAGTTATGTAAGATGTTTGCATTGAGGAGAGCAGAGTTAAGGATATATAGGAATTCTGACTATGCTATCTTTGAAATTTCTCTAAATTCTAAACTGTTCACTTTGGTTCAGAAAATAAATGTTAAGCCAGGCATGGTCACACACACTTGTAATCTCTGCACTTGGGTACTTGAGGCAGGAGGATCTTGAGTTTGAGGGCAGTCTGAGCTACATAGTGAGTCCCATGCCAGCCTGGGCAACATGGCAAGATGCTAAAGAAATAAAGAAAAAGCACATATTACTACCCTTGAAATTAGTGAGGGTCTTGTCATGATTTATTCTAATGTCATCTTTTCCTGTGTTTCAGTGTTTGGAGTAGAACCAGATATGATCCAGGATGGGTCAACCATTCCAATTGCCAAAATATTCCAGGACATCACCCAAAAGAGTGTGATGATGCTCCCACTGGGGGCTGTGGATGATGGAGAACACTCTCAAAATGAGAAGATTAACAGGTCAGCTGACTATGTGCAGGTGGAGGGTGCCACGTGGGCCTTTCCACTAGCCTGTGTGAGAGTGGACAGTAACAGATTTGATGTCTTAAAAAGCTGATGTTTGATTCCTCACTGTTCTGAGTCTGGGGAACCCCAGTTAAGCTTCAGGTGGTGGGGGCTCTCTTCCTGCTCTCAGACCAGTGCCATCACTGGATGTCCTCATGTGGCAGAATTAGAGCTAAGAAGGAGAGAAAGGAGTAGGGAGTGGGGGAGAGAGGGAGAAGAGGAGGAGGTAGGGGAGGAGGAAGAGGAAGAGGAAGAGATGCTGTTTACAGGCAAGCAAGGGAGCTTTGATGTTCTTTAAATTCACCAGCCCCATGGGATTACGGCACACCCTACTGACCTTCTGATCTCATTTAACCTTAATCAACTTCTCAATGAAAGGCCCTCCCTAGGAATGTAGTGAGTTTGCGGTTAGAACTTCAACATAGGAATTTGGAAGCTATGACATTAGGTGCATAACAAAGAATATTTTGGAAAGTTTGGCGTGAACATTATCTACAGATTGTAGAAACCTCCTAGCCCCTAAACTAGTGAGAAACAAGATTGTATGACTCTTCTATCCATGTCATATTAAAGATACGAAACCAAAGAAAAG